AAAACTGAAAGCTCGCTTTGGGTAAATAGCTTCTTGCTCTTCCTTAGTTTTATTTTATTTCTTTAAAAAATTTTTTAGAAAAATAACAAAGGATTTCACACCATAGGCAAATCAAACCAGTCTTTCAACTTAAATAATTCTCCACAGTTAAAATAACTTATATATGTATACATATATTAAAAGCAATTAAATTAGACCTTTTAAAAATGCACAGCACAGCCTGGAAAAATATTTGCTTAGCATGTTCTTACTTATAGGATCTATTGCTGTGATGTCTTTCCTTTTTAGAATGCAAAGGAGTCCCCTTTCAAAAAAAGAGATCAATTCATTCATCAATTAAGAATACACCTTTCCTGTAATTTTTGGACTGAAGCAATTTATTAAAGCTCAATTTAAATACAGGGATAATGCAGCTGAAGATATCCAGGTGACCTTTGATAAACCTAAGCAGCTCAGATACATCAATATGTTTCTTCATACTTGTTGGCAAATAAACCCTTTTAAACACTTGGCACACAATATAAGTTAATCTATAAAACAGAATTTTAGAGGCATTAAAAAAAATCTGCACATAAGACCCCATGACCTTAACACAGGATAAATACTGTTGATGTGGAAGGGTCATTGAAGAATAACAAATAAATACCATGAATCGTTAATACATCATTGCAGAGTGGAAAGTAACAAGGTGCACATAAATATTTTTAAATGCAATTCTTTCAGCCACAGTCAGTTTTTTTTTTTTTTTTTAATATCACTCTTGCCAAAACTTTTGAGCATTTTCACAGGATTAAAGTTCAGAGACAATAAAAAATACAAGTCTTTCATAGCAACGTGTCTCTTCCTGTTTTTGTTTTTTGTTTTTTTTCTTCATTTAAATAAATCTACATTTCAAGTTTTTCTCCTGGCTCAGAATCAAAATTTATTTTCAAGTGCCCTTTCTGATTTGTGTGAATGAATATTCCGTGCCACAAGCCACCCAACCCCGGACGACTCCTCTCCCCCTCAGCACTGGCCAAATTCACAATTATTAGTAGGATTACTATTTTGCCACGTAATACTCTCCACGCTTAATAACACCTACTTCTCAACTTATTTTTTACCCTTAAAGGAAAACTCTGCTTCCTCGCGGTCTAGGCTGCCACCAAAGTTGCCACTTTTCCGAGGAAAAAAAGACATCCATACTCTCTCCCAACTCCACCTCCCTCCTCCCTCCCTCCCCACCCCGAAGACCGAGATTCTGGGGATGTCGAGGCCAGAAGTCCCGTTTGTCTCTGATAGTTCTCCGCAGTTCTCGCCTCTGCTTTGTTTTCTCTGCAAGTGTTTCACGACTACGAGAGGACCAAATAAAGGAGGGTGGGGAGCAGCTTAGCATTCTCCTCTAGCTTTGGGGTCGGTCTTATGGTTTTCGGGCGTGGGGGGTTGTTTAAGGCTTCTCCGTGCACTGTTTGCAGAGGCTGGAGGAGACGCTATTGAACAGGGCGCACTTCTCCGGGCAGGAGGCGGCCGGGGGCAGCCCGGCGCTGAACGGGTAGCCGGCAGCCTGCTCGTAGGCGCCGAGCGCCGGGTGCAGGGCAGCGGCCGCCGCCGCCGCCGCTGCGGAGCTGGGCAGGGAGGCGGCCGAGATGGCCTGGCCCTGGTTGAGGTAGGCGACGAGGCGCCGCATCTCCTCCAGGGCCTGCGCCTGCATGAGGATGTAGTTCTTGGCGAGCAGCAGCGTAGCGATCTTGGAGAGCTTCCGCACCGAGGGGCTGTGCGCGTAGGGGATCACCGCGCGCAGCTCGTCCAGCGCGTCGTTCAGGTCGTGCATCCGCCGGCGCTCCCGGGCGTTGATGTTGAGCCGCAGCGCCTTTTGCTCTTTGGATTTCTTGCTGCTGCCGCCGCCGCCGCCGCCGCCCCCGCCGCCACTGCCCCCGCCGCCGCTGCCGGCCGGGCCCCCCGGGGGGGCGCTGGCGCCGCCGTGGTGGTGGGCGTTGGAGCAGCCCTCGGCCGCCTTGACGCCGCCGCCTCCCGCGCCCGGGGAGGCCCGCGGGTCGGCGCCGCCGGCCCTTAGAACCAGCTCGCAGCGGCCGTCGCTGTCGTCGTCGGGGCTCTGCTCGCCGCCGCTGCTCTCGGCCACCGAGCCCCGGCTGGCGCTCTCGCCGTATTTGAGGCACAGGGCGGCCCCAGCCGGCAGGCTGCTCAGGCTAGGTTCGCCCCCAACGCCGGCGGTGCCCACGAGCAGCCCGGGGACGCCCACCCCGCCGCCGCCGCCTCCCCCGGGCGGCGGCAACAGCAGCCCTGCCCCCTCGGGGTCAGCCGGCTCGAAGCAGCCCAGAGGCGACGAGGAGGAGGACGCCGGGCGCTCCCGAGGCGGCGGCGCCAGGGACAGGTCCATGCTCGGGGGCGGGGAGCGGAAAGCCGCCTCCAAGCGCTTGGCGGCGGAGGCGCTCAGGCTCTTGTGCAGGAAGAGGTCGTCTTCGCCCGCGGCGGCCGCGCCGAGGTGCAGCCCGCGCTCCATGGTCCAGCGCCGGCCGCCGCCGCCTGGGCTCGGGAGTCGGGCGGCGCCGCAGCCGCGCCCGAGCCGGGCTCTGGGGCTGGTGCGCGCGTCGGTCCCGGTGCTGCTGGCAGCCCTCTCCCCTTCTTTTTCTTTTTCGCCTTCCCCCGCGCTCGCCGCCTCCTCTTCTTCTTCTTCTTCGTCTCCAGCCGATGGTGCTGCCTGCTGGGGCTCACCATGGGCCGCGGCCCCGCATGGTGGGAGGGTGGGCGCGGAGGGAGTGGAGCCGCCGCCGCCGCCGCCGCCGCCGCTCTGAGCCCAGCCCCGCGCCTCCTCTCCGCACCGTTTATCTTGCTTGGATTCACCTTCAAGAGATTTCCGGACCCATCAACCAGCCGCCGCCACAGACGGGGGAGTCTTTTACATCATTATCTCTGAGTAGGTTATTATGAAGAAGAGTCGCCTGTTGGGACAGAGCTTTCTACCCAATCAGGTTAACGTTTTAATTAATAGGATTAAAACGGTAACAAACAATCGCAGGCGCTATCTGGCCGCGAGTCTGAATAGTTTCATTCCCCAGGTCTGAAGACAGGCAGCAGCTAGAGCTTTATAAAAGGCGCCTGCTCCATTATTCTGCCTGCCATCTGTATACACAGCTTAGCGCATATGTTTGCAAGGCGCTGGGTCCTGTTAGTAACCCAACAACTGCCTTTAGCTTGACATGTGTGGCGACTTTCACTCATCAATGAGCACACTAAAAGCCCTACTTAGAGCCGAGGATGTTCTTTGCTCCTTCAGCAAATTGTAGATCGGCGGCGAAGCCTGGGAGTCCCGTGTAAAGCAGACACCTCCCCCCACTGCACCCCCCTCCCCACTGCCCTTCCCTCGCCACTACTGTCTCATCTTGTGCTACATGACCCTTTCCTGGGGAGGCTGATACTCCACCCCTGTTCCTAGGATGACACTGGTCTGGATGTGGAGATGGGATTTTCGGGGGGAAGTGGTGTCTCCGCTGGCTTGCCCCAAATTCACCCAAGATTCTTAGCTAGTAAGACAGCAAAGCAATCGCCCCCCCTGCCCCCCCCCCGCTCCAACACACTGCCTTATTCCGCCCCCGCTCACCCACTCCCTGCCCATTTCCTACCCGGACTGAATTTGAGGAAAGCCTCCTCAAATGAAGACGTCAGACCAAAATCATCAGGAAAGTGGAACACAAAGAAAACAACCAATTCAGGAAGAAAAAGAAAACGGGGGGGGGGGGGGGGAGAGGGGAGAGGAGGGGTGGAGGAGGAGAGAAAGAAAATGAAGATCGAGTTGCGTATTCAGCCCATTAGATTTTTTTAAAGGGAGGGGGGTGCTTTTGCAGCCGTCTCCAAAGAACGGCTACAGTGATGGTGATTCATGAAGCACAGGATTTCCTAAACAGGAAGAAACTGATTGCTCAAACTTTCCTCAAGATGAAAATCCAGCTGTTTCGGAAGAGTCAGCTTCACCGGTAGTCAGATCCTCTCACACACCAAGGAGGACATTTGTGCGTATTTATTTACCCAGAAACGTAGCCGCCATAGCTAGGAAGCCATTCAGGGACATCTGGGTCCGCCTCGGTTGTTCTTGGAGGGAGAGGAAGGCGAAGTGTGAACACAAGTGCTCCTCTTCGGATGGGAAATGGTACACGCGGTCTTCCAGCTCCTGTGTCCCATGTCTGGGAGCACATGGTATTTAGCAGCTGGTTTTCATCCTTATGACATAAGTAAAAACAATATTTCCCAAAACCCTCCAGTAAATCTCTCTTATGTGGCAGAATTACTGAAGCTTATGAAATTTTTGGTTTCTCTGGTTTCATTAAAAACCTTTTAATTGTGGCTTTCAGAGTTGGCCCCAGGTGTTGGACTCTTTTCATTACATTTTGCTCTAATGTGATGAAATTCTAATTCTCTCCTTACCATATGGTTAAATTTCCCCACTGAGAATTAGTTGAAAAAGGAGAAATAATCTATTAATCTCTGTAATAGATTCACAAATGAGGTTCGCCACAGAACCTGTTTTTGAATGGTAATATCAGAACAGTTGGGCGCCTTATTTCATAAAGGAGGGGTGAGGACGGCATAGAAACGTCTGCATTTTCACCTGAGGAAAAGGGGCCCAGCGGTATCTTTTCAAAATAATTGCCTGAGATTCAATCTCACCGGGACGGAAATTGTACGCAGTCATCAGTTACCCTCGTGCCTTGGGATTGACTGGATCCCAAAGATTGAGAAAGAGCAGGCGAGCTGCGGGACGCTTTCCAGCCTGGGCCCCGGGCCGGCGGCTCTGGAAGGCTCGAGCCGGCCACGTGTCTCGCCTGGGGACCCCAAAGCACGTAGACGTGCGGGGCGGCCCCTCGCTCACCGCTTCCCTCCCGCCTCCGTCCCCCGACGCGCGCAGCTATTAACCTCCAGCTTTAGGAAGCTAACGACACGCTCCTGTTACTGTTTTTCAATTAGCAGCTTTGTTGTCACCGGGATCATAAACAAAGGTTCTCTATAAACATAGGTGAGTCGTGTGTGCCTGATACTAACTGACCAAAGAACTCTGGCCACTTAGGGGAGGACCGAGGCTGGCACCGTCGTGGCTCTGGGCGGAGTGGAGACACGTTTCCAGTGTCTGACTCGATTCTCCCTGCTCCCCTTTCTAGAGCGCTGGCACTTTCCGCAGGACGCCTGTATTCCTGCCGGCCACTCGGTGGGCACTAGGAGGGTGAAGGAGCTACCATGTCCGGGCCGGGTGGGAGCTATAGGTTTGGATGCGAGCGCCACATGGGGCTATGCCCTGCAGGACCGGACTGGCCAAGCTGGGGCCACCGCCGAAAGCGGCCAAGGCGCCGCTAGATCCGCGACCCCCGACAGACTCCGGTCCTGCGCCGCTGCCAGATAACTCAGCCCCGAAGAGCACCTCCTGGCCCTTCCCGGACCCCACTTCCACGCCCTCCTTCCTCTTCCCCCGCTCCCCGCTTCCGCCATCGAAACTTCCGGAACAAACTTTTGCGCAGCTTTATTTCACTCAGTAGGAGCCCCAAACCTCTTTCCTTGGCGGTTCAAGAAAATCCCCTTAGTCTTCTCGGAGGAGGTGACTGCTTAATAGTCCCTGGAAACTTAGATTTGGGAAAGTGCCGAAGAATTTATAGGAGCTTTAAATGTGGGCCTTATAACAACCGTCGGGGAATGGTCTTTGAGGTTTATGCACTCGTAAACTTTTGCTTGATTGCTTCTGGGAAGTTGTCAGGCACTTAACGCTGCATTTATCTCACAGGGCAATGAAAACACATCTGCCCGGTGTCTCGTTACCTGGTTTAATCGTCACCAGCCCTAAGTCACGGCCTAGGCTCTTTCTCCTCACTTGAGTGGGATCCCGCCGCCTGGTTTCGGGCCAGCGAAGGGCTGACGTCACCTGCTCACTTAGCACCCTCTGGCCGTTAAGAGCTCCAGAAAGCTCTGCGCTTGAACTTTGCTCTGCCAAGAAGAGGGGAAAGGGCCTGGGTTCCTGCTATAACTAGCAAGTTGTAAGGAGAGCAGAGGAAAAGCCAAAATAAAAAATTTCTGGTTGCCTGGAAAGAAAGGGTGGGAAATTAGCCCGCGGCCAAAACTTCTGACCCACAGATGACCCCTGGAAATGAAACATTGGAAGCGAAATCCTCTGAGTCTGTGCAGTTTCAGAGAAGGTCCGGGTGAGTTACCGAAGCGATTGGGGGACAGGAAACGCAGGGGACTGTTTCCTCTGCCCAGTCATGGTGTGGCAGCTCAGGCCACTCCGTGGTCCAGACAGTGGGGTGGGCGCCATCGAGGGACACCCAGCAGGGCGCTCTTGGTACTGGGCTGATTGGTGCATTGAGGCTGGTTGGTAGACACATATCAGGATAGGGAGCGTTCTTGGCCGAGTGTTGAGTACCAAATTTACAGACGCCCGCGCATGTTGTGCAAAGATGAATACAGTTTTGTTACAGCAGGAAGGAACACACCTACGGCTTTGAAAGGATTCTTAAATACTCAGCAAGCCGCACCGCATTGAAATTACAGAGCTATTGCGTTTTAGACCAAACTAATTTTTTAGGTCACTTACATTTCTTAGTGATCGTCTTCCTTAATATTTGCTTGAAATTTGAAATAGGAACCCACGTAAAATCAGAACGGAACACGATCTAATCCGTCATTAAAGAGCAAAGCCAGGAGTTCCTCTTTGTTATTTTTATAGCCCTGATAAACAGCTTATTACTTATCTAGATTTAAAAGTTAGGAGAACCCCAAAAGACTGGGATTTGAGTATCTGTGTTTTCTGAAAGGGAGAATTTTCCTTGTGTGTCTGCATTTCAATTTATCTACCTGAGAACATTCTAAAAAGTAAAAAGCAAAGTTTGGTTTAAATGACATGAACTTTCGCTTGGGAGCTGCTCAGGAAAAGCACATTCCCTGAGAGTGACGGAAACCCTCTGGGGGCTGCGCATACCCTGCGGCGGCGGAGTCCAGCCTGGGAGGTCGCGTCAGGCAGGGACTGCGGCGACCCAGAGGGACTTTCTGTCACAAAACCGCCGAGGAGTACTGGCTCCAAGCCCTCCTCCGCCACGTCCAGCGCGCGCAAGCAGGGCGCGCCCCCAGCGCTCCAGGCCCGAGCACCCTTGGCCGCTCTCCAGTCCCAGTCAGAGGCACGTTGACCTTGAAGTTGCATTTGCCTACCCCCCGCCCCTCTCCCGCCCCACGCTGTCTGGTGGATCTTGGGTCAGCTTGAAGCCCGCACAGCTGAGGTTCATCATCCTGCGCCCCCGCCGTGTTTGGGAACGCAGGATCTACTTGGTGGCGGAGACCTTCAAGCCCATCAAGGTGAAGTCAAGCCTTTCGGCCTCGTTTAGTCATCAATATTTTCTTACCCTGTTGGCTAGGTCCCACAAAGCTCAATGCAGAGAGATGCTATGGGTCCACGTGTGTGTTGGGGATTGGCGGGCCTAATGAGGAGGAGGGCAGCGAGGGTGCCGGGGCCCTGGGAGCTGGATCATC